ATTAAAGATAATTATTTTCAAGTCATACTATAAAAGCTGGGTTTTTTTAGTAACACGTATAGTGCTAACACATGCCACCAAAAAAAGCCAAATAAAAATTTTGGTTACAACATCTCTAAAAAAATTATTGAAAATGCACAAAGCCGGCGCGCGGTGGAGGGGTCTGACGATGGCTTCAATTGTTTTTCAGAAGATGGACCTAGTTTATGTGAGAGTGACATTGATAGTGACATCGATAATGACGAATTGGAACGAACCCACTGAATAGCACGCTATCCCCTCCACTCGGCCATCGTCAGACCCCTCCGCCGGCTTTGTGTATTTTCAATAATTTTTTTAGAGATGTTGCAACCAAAATTTTTATTTGGCTTTTTTTTGGTGGCATGTGTTAACACTATACTTGTTACTAAAAAAAACCCAGCTTTTATAGTATGACTTAAAAATAATTATTTTTAATTATTTATAATTAAGCCTGGCGACTAATTCCCCCGAGCAATCAAACTGGCAATTTATATTTGTATGTTCCTGAGTGACCAATTATCAATATCCGATAAAAATTGAGACTTATACTATGACTTAAAAATCTGTTTTTTTTTCTCACCTGCGTACTTTTAAACCCCCCAGGTACGGCCAGCCAGGTGTTCGGATTATCGAAGGAGAGTCGTCCACGCAGGTTAAAACGAAAAATTGTATTTTACAAAATTACTTGGCCAAAAGTGTCGTCAGCTCTTAGACTAATAGATTGCACACACGTACAATAACACATCACATGGATCAATCATGTTATAACATATATTTTGCGCAATAAGCTCTAGTGTTAATAAACACCTCCACATGATATAGCGTTGCAATTAAAAGCGAGATCGCAAAGGGAATTGCTTAGCGTCAATTTGTGACCTTCGCTCCGTTGAAAAATTTTAGGTTATGTTCAGCAGAGAAAGCAGATTAGTGAATAACGCTCTGTGATTTAGAGTATTTTTTTTAGACCTTTGATAGATCCAGAAGAACGTATAATATATACTAATCAGAAACAATAATCATTAAACGCTCACTGAGCTGCTTTCTCTGCTGTGAACGCTACCATAATTTTTTAACGCTCCAAAGCCTAAGTCGATCCTACTTGTAGGTTAGATTATGGTGTAAACTATGGGTTAAATGGCTGTTATTCCATAACTTGTGCATGCGCATTAGAAAAAGAGTCATGTAAAACATTTTTTAGACGACTTTTCGTTCAGTTAAGCAGTCGACTTTTCGTGCAATCGGAAAGACGTCTTTTAAGCTTTTGTGTACATGATAATAGAAATCGGACCGAGTCCTCGGTCTGAGAAAAAGTTACTAGAACTCGAATCGTGTATACATACATACACAGGCAATTCGGATGAATTTCTCGAATAGAAATCTCGTACAGAAAAATGCATTCTGTCCCATTTTTCCGTACAAGTTATCGATTCAATTCCATGTTGCCAACGTTATTACTTTATAAATAGCTAGTCAATGATGGTCAATGTAACGTTGGACAACGGAAATGTATATAACTTTCATAAATCTTGATATAGAGAAAAGAGAATTATATATATTATACAATTCCACGGGCCCAGGCTCATACTCAGCTACTTCTATTCGAGAACTTGAATCGAGGACTTGGACCGATTTCTAGCATCGTGTACACAAGGCTTTAGGCATCTTTTCGTCTAGCCGAAAAGATAACTATAAAAAAATATCTTTTTGTCTAGCCGAAAAGATAACTATAAAAAGATATCTTTTCGTCATCTTTTAGACATCTTTTCGTCTAGCCGAAAAGATGAGGGTAATTATATTTAGAATACGGGCCTGAACGCGAATATATATAGATGAAATTATGTTTAATCGACGTGTTTTTGCACAAAATGAAAGAATCTGGCAGATAAACGCGGCGGTCTGCTTCGCGAAGCGAGATATTAATCGTTAAAGTTGACGACTATTCGGTAGAAAATCTGACATACCGACCAAAAAAAGTGACCGAACGTGCTCCGTGGCCACATGCGTATGCTCCGTTGCGACAGTGTAGTGTACTTCGACGCGTCTTACTTAAATAAATATCTTGTCATTTACAACCTGCACATCTTAAATCTTACAATATAGCATACTCAGTCCAGCAATTGAACAATAATCCGTGAATGCGACGCAGCCGTGTGTACAGTTACAGCGTTTTCTTTAAAGAAATGTTAGATCTTAACTTGAATCCAATTAATAATTAAAATTGAATGTTTATTTTGAAGTTGTGATTTTCATTAAGAAGGTTGAAGCGGTCTAGTTGAGTCAATTGACGGTTTAGAAAAAAGTTTTTTATTAGGTCATTAAAAAATCTGTATTAGGTATCATTTTATTCTCCATACGCTGCTATTGCATAAAACGTATAGTAAAAGTATCATATTATGCATCTTTATATTTTAATTAGCTAAAAACGAGACACTTTTTTGCCAATGCCAACTTTAAAACTTGTGGTATTATATTGCTAATTATTTCAATGTAAAAATGGCATGAATATATGTTTTGCCATTGATAGAATGAAATAATGATTATCACTGGTGGCTCCCTTGACAATTATATAAGCTGTGGATTTTTTAAATAGAAATTGTTAATAATAAAGGGGTTACCGATTTCTGTTAAAAAACCAGCCAAGTTTACTGAAATTTCTATAACTCAAGAACTAATTAACTAAATTTTAAAAAATTATAAATGAAATAAGGGTAGAAAGACTGAAGAATATAATAGAATTAATAATAATAATAATATTTATTTAACTTCGGCTGCTGCCAAGAAGTGGACTTGGTTTACAATAAGTTCCTTAACACACTCATCCATCCACACATCGCCCGTCAATCACAACAATTCCTTTTTTTCTTCCCATCTCCAAATTTCCACCCCATATGACATCACACTCTGGACTAGATAATTAAACATATATCTCCCTCTCCTTATGAAATCATCTCTACATATCCGTTCTCCAAGACCCCACGTCCTATTTACCGCAATCCTACCTTTTCTAGCTAATTCTTTAATGTGATCTTTGCAATTCTCTCTATTATTAAACACAAAACCTAAATATTTAAAAGTCCTAACCTCTTCTATCTCCTTTTCTCCCCATTTTCATTTCCCTTTCTTCCCCCTCCCATACAGCATGGAATATGCAAGAAATGTGCTATAAACAATCTATAAATATTTTAATATTCCACGGGTCATTCAGAATATTCTGTAGAAGTTCTATAAATATTCCATGAAATTTTGTCTATTCGGAATATGCATAGAATATTCTACAAATGTCTAATAAATATAGTACATTTAAAAAATGCATAGAATGTTCTATAAATATTTTGACAAATATAGAATATTTGAAATATTTACGGAACATTTTGTTAATATTCTTAAACATTTATAGCATGTGCTATGAATATTCTGAAAAACTTTTCTAGAATTGTTATGAATATTTCAATAATAATCTGTGAACATTGCAATGAACATGAAATATTCAGAATATTAATAAAATATTTTTAAAATAATTTATAAACATTTTAGGAAAAATATTGAAAACATTCTAATTATTCTAGGAATATTTAAAAAATATTTTGGAACATTATATAAATATTCTGGAAAGCATTAATAAAAACTTTTTAGAAATCCGAGACCCTTGCGAGCTAACGAAGGGGAAGCGTAACGAGACCGCGAAAGAGTCCCCAGGTAGGAAACGCCGATACTCGAGAAACGGGCCAAGACTGGCACGAGTGTCGGCTTGCCGACGTTTAATGTCCAAGCCTGGCCCAACTATTACCCGAATTTGGGTAGCCGAGGCTTGGCAAGCAAGTGCCGTCCAATATTGGGCCAAAGCTTAATAGCCAATCCTTATTCTTTATTATTATTATTAGATTTACAATTTTCTTTTTAAAAAAATAATTAAAAATATATAATTTTATAAAAAAATTTTATAATGAGCTGGCACTGGTTTCTGACATTCACCCGACATTGAGAAATATTATATCATATATCTAATTCAAATTTTATTACTTTTTTAAAACTGAATTTGTTTCTTAAGATGATTTTTGAAAAATTATATATTTGCGCTGGTTATGAAATATGTAGACTATATATAACGCTTACATCAAATTAAGAAGTAGTCTACCACGTAAGGCAGTTGGCTCACGATCCAAAGGTCCCGAGTTCGAATCCCACCAAGGTAAGTGTGTTTTTCAAATACGAGAAAATATTTATAATCATAGACTGCATCTTAAGAAACAAATTTAGTTAAAAAATAATAATAAAATTTCGAAATAAATAATTTTTTTTATGTCGGGTAAATATTAAATGTATACAGAATATGCGATATCCCATTTTTAATGTTCCTAAAATAATCTATAAATGTTCTATAAATATATTTTGCATATATAAAAAAATTATGGATTATGCGGAAAAATTTATAAAACATTTGTAGATTATTTGAGAATATTTACAGAAATTTCTAAGGACATTCAAAGCGGGACATTACACGTTCTTTGCACATTTATAGATCATTTATAGAAAATTCATGAATATTCTAAAGAATATTTATAGAACATTCATGGAATATTTCATGCTGTATGGGCTATTTTCTTTGTTAAACACTAACATCTTTGTTTTATTGGTACATAATATCATTTTCCTCCGTTTTAGAAACCTCTTTATTGTGTCCATCATGTCTAACATTGCTGTTCTATTCTTTGCTACGAACACCATATCATCCGCATATTCTAGCAACCATACTCTAGTGTTTCTTAACTTTACGCCTCCTATCCTTCTTTCTTCTAGCTCTTTTATAATGTCCGTTATATACAAATTAAATAGAAGTAAATTTATTACTCAATCCTGTCTGACTCCTTTTGTTATTCTGAATTTCTCCGTCAGGCCCACTTTTGTTCTTATTGCAACTTCAGTCACATCATATATTGCTTCTATTCTCCTTATAAGTTCTTCATCTATTTCCTTTTCTTTCAAGATCTTCCACAGTTGCTCTCTTTCCACCTTGTCAAATGCCGCTTTAGGTCTACGAATAAGGCATACAATTTGTCTTTCTTTCCCTCTTTATCTACTCTTTGGACCAGGTGATCCAGGACAAAGATGTTATCAGCCGTTGCCCACCCACCTCTGAAACCCGCCTGGCTCTCTGGAAGCAGATCCTTCAGATCCACCTCCCTCTTTAGACGGCATCTAAGGACCTCTGCATATATCTTATACGCAGAGCAGAGAAGCGAGATTCCTCTGTAATTTTCTACCTTTTCCTCATCTCCCCTTTTGTGTAGCGGGACTATGATTGACGTTTTCCAGTCTTCAGGTAGCTCTCCTTCTCTCCAGATGTGTTTCAGCAGGTCCACCAACTTCCTCTTAACTGAGCCGCCTCCATACATCCAGGCTTCCATTGGTATTCCATCGATACCTGTGGCCTTATTCCTCTTCATCCTTTTGATAGCTTTTTCTATTTCTTCCTCGTTCAACTGTAGTTTTGGCTGTTCGCCTTCTTCTCTTTCTTCACTTATTCCTTTTCTGTTTGGTTGTATCTTCTCTTTATCCGTATATTCTAATAGCTCCTTAAAATAATTTGTCCACTCATTTCCTTCGATGTTATTTATTTTCCTTGCCTTTTTCCTTCTTTTTTTGTTTATAAATTTCCATACTTCAGCTCCGTTCTTTATATTCTTTAATTCTTCTTCCATTGCCCTCTTCTCCTTCCTCTTCTGTTCGAGTAGGGTCTTCAGGTTTCTTCTTTCCTCCAGATATCTTCCTCTATCTAATTTTTCCACTCTCCATTTCTTATAAAGTCTTTTCACGCTCCTTTTCTTCCTTGTACATTCCTTGTCCCACCAATCTTTGTGGACCATCTCTCTCCTCGTCGTATTTACCCTTTTCTTTACCATAGCCTCATGTACCATCTTTTTCAGATTTGTCCATTTTTCCTCTATAGTTTCTTCTTGCTGTGTCTCCACGAATATATTCTTGTTCGTTTTCTCCTTATATCTTCTTATTGTCTCCTTATCCCAACGGATCCTCCATGTTCCTTCTGTTGACTTTACGTCGTCTGCGTTAGTCAGCCTCTTCTTCTTCCTCTCTTCTTTCTTTATTCTCAATTGTCGCACAGACAGGCATGTGGTCTGAGTCCACCCTTGCATCTACCTCGAATTTGTCTATTCTATGATACATTCTCTCGCAAACTATCATATAGTCTATCACCGTATTTCTTCTCGCTCCTACAAAAGTATATTCGCCGTTCCAGTCGCCGTTCGTTGTGCCGTTTAGTAAGTACCATCCTTTACTCTGTATAAAATCTATTAAGTTCCTACCCCCTGTCCCTATTATTTTGTCTTTACTTATCCTCTTTGTGTTACTTTTCTCTACTTCTCCCCCTTTCAATTCCCCTGTTCTTATATTAAAATCCCCTCCTATTATAATATTCTCTCTATCCTTCTTTCCTAACCATCTCTCTATTGTCTCCTCCACCCTACTCCAATTATCCTTATTGTAGACCGAAATAATGTTAATACTTTCGCCGTCCGTCAAGATTTCCGACAGTATTAGACCTTCTTCTTCATTTTTAAACATTGTTGATCCTAATTCCCCCCAGCTTTTTCTTTTTCCCAATACAAAACCTCCTATCGCTCTGCCTTTCTTTTTTATTCTCTTCGCATGACTGCACACCCATTCGTGTATGTTCGGCAATAAACTTTTAATATTATCTTATTTTTCTGCGTCTACCCATGTTTCGCTTAAACTTACAAAATCGAATTCCCTAATATATCTCCAGAAATCTCTATCTTTGTTTACTAATCCTGCTACATTCCAGAAGAGTATTTCAATCTTTCATCTTCTCTTACGACGGTTATCTCCCTTTCTCCCTCTTCCTCATTACATACATTATTCACGTTATCTGCGTTCGCCACCACCTCATCTCTACACGTCTCCACTGCTTGGCTTCCCTTTATAAATTTTTCTTTTCTATTAGCTTATTTTCTTCCTCGCTTTGTGAGCGAAGGTTTCTACTTGCACACTTAAGAACTATAAGGAAGCAATGTGCAGGTTTCTACTTGCACATTTTTTTTTATCAATTTCTGAATTATAGGTGTTTGAAAATCTATGACCCTGTATTTTGAAAAGTTTAGGGCAAATCTTTTAAAACCTTTTCTTCCTAAAATAAGCCACGGAATTAATATCCCCTTCAATTTTTTGTACTTAAAAAACATTCTGTATAACAGTTTTTCATATTAGCGCGTGCACTTGGGGATTTTTTTACTTACTTTTTAAAGGTAATTTTTTAATGTCATTCCTTTTTTTTAGTACGTGAAACATTTTTAAGTAATATATGATTTAAAGACAGTATTATATGCCTTTATGTATTCCGCGACATTTTATTTATTTTAAGACTACGTTATCAATCATCCCTTGCGATCATAATATCTCTAATAACTTTTTCCATCAATAAAATTACGAGAAACAATTTTGCTCTCTTTTTTTCCAGTACTTTTCTCTTTCTATTGCTCTCATCCGCTCGCACTCGCTTTCTTACTTTTGGCTCAAATATTTTTTTCTTTCTTTTTTATGAAACGCTACATGGTCTGAGTGATGGAAAGAAATATAATCTTTATTCCTTTATTCCCTTTATCCTCCCGATCTGACTTATTGGTCTGATTTACCTGTTGGGTCGATAATAACGCGCTCGGTTCATCGAAATACGTGCATATAAGCTAGATACGGTTTATATTATATGATCGTGAACATGATGGAAAGAAAATTTCTTTTACCATGAGCGTGAATACGGTAAAGATGTTGCCATAGAGACGCTAAAGATAATCTCAACAACTTCTTTCAATGCTGCGCCAGCAAGAAACCGCTTGCGAGCGCCGCATTGTGTCAAAAAAGTGAAGAGAACAACAGAAGATGATGATAATGATGTATCTTGATGTAAAATTTATACATTTCAGACTATATTGTAATACCTCCACTCGTAGCAGACATGTAGACAAAAAATAAAAATACTTTTATTATATAATTTGAACCCAAGGTATCGATTGAGCCTACTCAGAACTTAATCAATTCAGCTGTTATTGAGATCTAATAATCTTAAGGTTTTTCAACTCGTAATTGAGATACACGGTAATATCTCACTGTACATACACTTGGCGCGAGACACTATATAGTATTTCTTGAAAATGTAGGAGTATAGAGGTTATAAAAAATCAAAATAACATATTAATTCTTTATTGTTGATTATTCATGTGCTAGGATTTATTCTATGAATATTCTGGGTTTTCAGACATTATTCGATGGAGAAACTACAGAACATCAATTAACATTAATTATTTTAGCAACAAAAGCACTCGAATTTAAACCGTTGCCTGGATTTGATCCTAATGTTGATAGTTCGCAATATTATCGTGCTCAGCAAGAAATTGATTGTGACGAAGTATATCCTGGAATATATATCGGTGACGGGTGAGTACAAGAGAAAATAACATACAAAATAACATACAAATTAACAATAAAAACTTTTTTACGGTTTTTTTGTAAAGTATTACAGCAAAAAACAAGAAGTACCTTGAAATGTTAGGTATAACACATTTATTAAATACTGCTGAGGGAAAAAGATTTGGATTTGTAAATACAGATAAGATTTATTATGCGGATACAACAATAAAATATCTTGGCTTGCCAATTAAAGATTTACCTACCGAAGATATTAGTAAATACTTTTATACAGCAGCAAATTTTATTAATGATGCGATATCTACAAGAGGTAATTTAATTATATTTTCATATTTTCATGTTTTATTGTGTAGGGTAGGTAGTCCAATAATGAATCATGTAAATTTCAGAGGCTTATATCTCTCTCAATTATTGAGTTAGAGATCTGTGTTTTTGCATACCTACAGTTCATGAATTTAGTTGACTACATACTGTATAAGATGACTTATAAGTTATTTTTAAAGTTTAGCCACAATTTCGATTTTTTTAAAACAATCTCAAATGGTTTATTATATGTGTAACGATGCACCCCCAAACATGCATCGTTCCGGCAAGATCACCACGCCGAGACCACCCCGCCGACCACCCGCGGGGTGAAGAACGGGCACGATGTGCCCAGCGTATTTTTTTAATCATCTCATACGTTAGGAAGTCCGCGAATGGATTTAAACGCGGCAACCGCTTCACCGCGCCGAGCGGTGCCGAAGACGGCCGAAGACCGCCGAACGCGATTACGGCGTCGGGGCGCCGCGATCCCCGATCGTTCCGCCGCACCGGCCCGGCGCTCGCGATCGCCGTCGCTACCCCCACCACGCCGCAACGCCGCCGCGACGCCGCCGCGACGCGTATAAAAGCCCGGCGTCACTGGCACAGAGCGCGATTCCCGATCATCCGTCTTCCAGACAACACCGATCCTGAATTCCCGCACGAAAGCTAATCCGAACGTAAGGTAGAGTGCCTCCGGCATTCTCTGTCTTCGCCGAGTGTGTCTCGGCTAGCGACCAGCTTTTCGCTCCTATCTGAATCACCCGAAGCCGTCCGGATACGAAGGTAGAGCGCCTCCGGCATTCTCTGTCTTCACCGAGTGTGTCTCGGCGAAGGACCAGCTTCTCATCTTTCCAAATCATCCGAAGCCTGTCCGGACAAGACGGTAGAGCGCCTCTGGCATTCTCTGCCCTCGCCGAGTGTGTCTCGGCCGACGACCCGCTTCCGCCGCGTTATCCACGCTTCGCGATCCATATCGCCGCCGCGCTTCGCGCCATTTTTCCGCGCTCCGGGCCGCACCGGCCGGGAAACCGGCGCCGCCCGTGCCGATACCTGCCGTCACGCGATTCGGTCCGCGCGAATACCAAAAGCAGCGGCTCCGCCCCGCACATACCGCGAGTTACCCCGCGCCGCCCGCGACCAAACCAACATCGCCTCGCACGCATCGACCTATTGTAAATGCCGCAAGCATAGATTGTAAATTGTCATAGAATAAATTCAACTATTTTCTTGTAACCGAGACGCGCCTTCATTTCGCTAACCTCGCCCTCCGTCTGCTTCTCCGCACCTCCTTCGAACCCCGGCCCACCGCGAGCTCGATCCGCGCTTCGAAGACAGGTTGTTTTATATGTACAGGAGTGTGTACACACAATGAACCTAGCAATTTTTAACAATAAACCATATGTTTTATACAGTGAATTGTTAGTGTTATTTTAGTTTTACTATGTTTTAAAATGTTTATTTAAGGAAGAGATAATTATAAGACATGATAAGTAAGATAAGTATATTGTTCGATATCGTGGAGTCGCAATAGGGATCAGGACGGTGGCGGTGAGTCAGCGAGACAAGATTTGGTAACAAAAACAATATATTCTGTCTAAATTATGTACATTGTGTTTGCGTTGTCTTAGGCGGCGCCTTGTAGGCGCCTAATCAAAAAATATAGGTGCTAATGCACAATTTAAAAGTTAATCTGGCGGATGGCCTTCTTTGCAAGGGGCTCAGAGGGGACCGAATTATTATTGAGGTCGATTTTAGAGCCCGGGGTGTGCGGTGGCTTGTCCGTTGGTTGATCCGGTGGGTCCGCTGGCGATGAAGGAGCCAGGAAAGCTCTCCTGAGCACCGTCTGACACGCTGTGGTTCGCGTCTCCTTAACGCGGATCAAGTGGAGGGCCGGTGGTCGAGAGATGCGGCAATCCCGTTTCGGGAGCGTCACTCCGGCAGGCCTGGTGCGGCGCACCTCCGGGAGCTCCAAGGGAACGAGCTTCCACGGACGTATCGCCTGTCCCTGGTCTAACTCCCGTCTCGTTGCCTGCCGCTCCTGCGGCATCGGCTGGTTGGCCAGACGAGATTGCACAAGGGCCGTTGGCTCTTGGTGCCGCTCCTGCGACACCGGTTTAGCGGGCTCCGCCTCCTTCGTGTGCCGCTCCTGCGGTACCGGTGGGTAGGAGAGGCGCTTCCGTCGTCTCTGGCTCCGCGTCCTGGTTCGGCACCTCTTCCTTCTGGTCGTGGTCGGAGTGGGGCCACTCCGCGCCTCCGCTTCCACTGTGCCGGGCCCGGAAGGGGCGTCCGACTTGGAGGGGTTACGGTCTTCACGATGACTCCACAGGAGTGCAATGAGCGGAGGAGAAGTCTCTCGACGCTCGATAATTTCTGCGCGGAGGAGATGAAATCTCACTCGACGCGGCAAAAGATATAGTTTCTGCGCGGAGGAGATGGCATCTCGCACTCGACGCGACAAAAGATATAGATTCGAGTCTCTCAACGCTTCCTCAAGGCTAGATCGCCGAGTATAGCGGTAGGATTCGATGCTGGTCTGTGCGCGGCTCGCCTTAATATTGCTACTCGAACGTACTTTAAACGCGAGTAATTGTACGTGAGCCGGCGACGCGCCGCGGCGAGCCGCGCAATCTGATAAGCGCGTGTTGGCCGGGCGCGCATTTGTCAGGCGCGCGCGGCACATGTTCGACTTCTCGAACATATATAGTATATGACTTTAAATTAAAGCTAACTTAATTATATATATTATGTTTTCATTATTTAAAGCTTATACAATCAAAATTATTATTTTTAATCAGACTTTTTCTTACTTAGATTATTATTTATTGTAGCAACTAGTCAGTTTAATAAGACTTATAACACAGATAACTGTAGTAAAGAACAAAATGGTTCATTGTAGACCATATAACATTTTTTATGATAATCTTAAAAAAATACGGTAAAATAATGCAATAGAAGAAAGTTGCTTACAGAATTATAAAGCCAAATATACACACAAAATTATAGAATAATAAAGGCGGCAGTGTGGTCTAGTGGTAGAGCACCAGACTCGTAATCTGAAGAACCAGGTTCGAGTCCACTAGAGCATGTAAACGTAGAATTTATTTTCCAAAAGCTGTGCCCTCCTTGCAAGATAGGCCCTTGTGCGGAGCAAACTGGGCTCCGTCTTTCGGAAAGAGACGTTAAGCCGTTAACGGTCCAAACGGTTAAGTGAGAGGAGAAGGGTAGTGATGGATGAGAATTGTAACCCTAAGGGTGTTGGGGATTCCCCCAATTTATTAATGTAAAAATTGTATTCGTCCGTTATATGTACTGTGATATACTTTTCTTCTGCTTCTCACGCAAAATTATCGATAAGTTCGGAACCGCCGAAAGGAGCCGATCCGCGCCGAAGGCGAGCGCGCGTCAGCATCCCCACGCGGCTCGCCCGACAGCCGGCCTCCCTTCCAACGAATCCGCCGCGCCGGGGTATTTAAGTCGGCGCTCCGACAGGAGCCGGCACTTCGTCTTATCTCCGGCTCTCTGCTGCCTTCGACGAAGCCTACCCTATCCAACTTCCTAGGGCGACACATAAAACGAGGTCCGGTGCTCCGAGTCTCGACTGAGGGCTCTCAGGTGTCCCCGAATAACTCCAGCCTACCAAACCCCGACGATCACGATCCCGCGGGGTCGAGCACGCTCGGCCTCGTAGCGAACCTTCTCGCTGTCGTGGCCCCGGGGCTTCGCTTCCTGTCGTATCTACCTACCGCGTCTCTGTAGGCATCGGACGTAAGACCGCGTTTTGCAACTCCGTCACACCGCGACAATTGCATTCGCGATACCGTCTCTCGTTTCTACCGCGTTTCTGTGCGCACCTTATGTAAAACCGCGCTCCGTGAATCCTTCATATCGCGCCGAGCGCATTCGCATTATCCTTTATGTACATACCGCGTTCCGTCCTTTTGTATCGATCATATCGAATAAACTTTATTGTACATTACAAGCTAATTTCTGTCTTTGGGCCTTCTACTCAACTTCCTGACCCGGCGAGCTAGTCCGCGTTTAACTAAAATCCTCGGTCGTTTTATAATCGAAAAAGCTAAAGCGGAGCCGTACGTGATATCTCGCGTTTTCGCGGGACGGATCCGGCAATTCGTTCGGCGTACTCATTACGCGCCCGAACAAAGGGTATCGATTAAAACTTCCATTTACTCCATTTTATAGAATAATAAAAAAAATAAATATACCAACAAAAACATGAAAAATACGTAAAACTTACGAAAAAAACTTTGTCACCCAAAAATCGCAAAATGTGGTCTCCAAACGACCGTGATCCTTCGCACGATTTGCCGGCCGATTGGGGAGCCGAAGAGGGGTTCAAATGCGAGTCGTTGCATGACAACAAGCACAATCTAGCAACACTACATTTATGAAATATTGCAATGGTTCATAGTGTTCATTGCATGTGACAACTGGTTCATTGATGGACTACCTACCCTATGCGATATCATATATAAAATAAAATTTATTTTTCGTAGGTAAAGCATTCGTACATTGCATGCAAGGTGTATCTCGCAGTGCTACATGTGTTCTCGCATACTTAATGATAAAAAAAGATATGTTAGCAGTTGACGCTATGCATTTAATCCGCACGAACCGAGACGTTCGCCCGAATAAAGGTTTTCTTTGGCAACTAGCACAATTGGATAATAAATTACGTAGGCAGCGTTTAATTAGTTTAACACCTCTAAAATAATATCAGTGTTGAGATTATTTTATTATAAGATATTTAAATGAGACGATAGTATAATTAATATGCGCGCACATGTGTATAAACAAATTTATATCACTTATGTTTGATTAAAAAACAATAATTTAAAAAATCTGTAAAGATTAAATAAATTATTAAATTTATAACATTTAAAATGTGTGTAAGTCTTATATTGAATTTTTCCTACTTTTATTGCTTCTTTGTATTTTTTCTTTCAACATTAGAAATATTGAGATGCCATTTTTTTATTGTTTCTGTTTTTGAAATTAATATCTTATTTTTCGTATAAAAATAGTAAAATCCTATTCTCTTTTACTCTAAATGAATGTTCGGCTTTTTCATTATTTTTATAAATTTTATAATTATTTATGATATTATTTACAAGTATTAAATTAATAATCAAAATAATCTCTTATCAAATTTTCTTCAGAAGATTGGTTCAAAATCGGAAATATTTTAAATGAAAAATGTGTACCGAACAGTATTTTTTTATGTGATAGTAGGGTAGACCGAGGCGAATCGGATCGATATAAGCTTTAAGACAGTTTTCGTTAGTGTTTTGTTCCAAAATAGCTGTTTTAACGTACCAATTACCTCCGTGCGTTTTTTCCGCACCGGAAACAATAGATAACAGCTTTGTGTTGCGTGTAATTTAGTGTCAGTTGACAATAGAAGCGTAGAGATCGTGAGTGGACGAAGAAATTTTGGCGCTAATGTAAAATCACGATCCCAATTTTGTGACTTTGTAACGAAAAGGTATATTGAAACTTAGGCAAATTATAATAATTTTTACAGTGTATATTTGCTAAATCAGTCTAGTAAGTAGTTCAAATAATATTATTAAGATAGTTTGAAGATGTAGGCTATTCGATAACGGCGACTGTATGCGTGGCGAGGTGGACAGGAAAACACAAGTATTTCTATAATGCTCTATATAATATATTTGCTCTTTGTACACGTCTGAATGCTACGACACCACGAGCTCTTCTGTTGCCGTCTCACACAACGACCGCACGTAAGCGTGGCGTCCCGAGGCTCGCGCCACTCGGGAGCTGCCCTCTAGAAGGGCGGGAGCACGTCGCTCGTTCAAAGCCCAGCTTCTCATACTCCCTCCCTTTGTGCGAGCGATCCGTGTTCGTCTAATTTTTTTCTTTATCTGTAACATATCAAAAATTAGTTATCGAGTAAAATTGATCTCTAATTCTGTTCAAACTCTACATTCATTATATTGTCTCTTAGATATGCAAATGCTTCTAAAGGTAAAGGTTTTGTCATAATGTCTGCCAAGTTCTCTTTGGTTTCAATCCATTCGACTTTCACCTTCCCTTGATCAACACACTGCTTGATAAAGTCTCCATGAGTGTCAGCCATATGTTTTCTGTTTCCAGTTTCTTCTCTTTCTTCTAAGTTTTTCTTTATTTCTTCTAAGTTATCAAACATTTTAAGTTTGTGACTTCCATCCTTCTTAGTGCAGTTTCCTGCTGCTCTGTTATCACACCAGATTGTTGCAGGCAAGAATGTTTTTCCAACAACATATCTGAGCGACTTGTCTAATGAGATTACTTCTTGACAGGCCTCACTCATTGCTAGATACTCTGCTTGACAGGTAGAGAGTGTGACATATGTCTGTTTATGACTTCTCCATGCTATCACATCTCCAAATATTTTGATTATATATCCTCCAGTGGATGTAGAATCAATGCAATCTCTGAAACTAGCGTCTGTCAGCGACTCTAATTCATCTGTTTTACCTTTAAACATTAATCCTCTATTTGCAGTTCCTCTAAGATATCTGAAGACTCTTTTTACATCTTGCCAGTCTTCTTCCGTGGGCTCTAATTGTCTTCTTGCTAAATAGTTTACTGCAAAGGCTATATCAGGTCGTGTAGCATTTGCCAGATACATTAAGCTTCCTATAGCTTCTCTATAAGGTACTCTTTTAGTTTCTTCTCTAATACTCTTTTCTTCTAATTTTCTGTTTTTATTGCTCACTTTTCTGGTGACCATAGGAGTGTTCTGAGGCTTGCATTCATTCATATGAAACTTTTCTAATATGCTCTCAGTATATCGCGTCTGATGAATATACATACAACTTCCTTCTTTGTTTCGCTCTATTGTTATTCCCAGAAAGTTCTTTGGTTCCCCAAGATCCTTCGTCTCAAATGTTTCACTCAACTTCTTTTTGATTTCTTCTAATTTCTTCTGATCATTACTTGCAACCAACATATCATCTACATAAAGTAATACGATCACTATTTTGCCTTCTTTCCTCCACGTGAACAGGCATGGCTCATGTAGGTCGTTCTCTAATCCAAGTTTCTTAGCCTCTTCTGAAAATCTCTTATTCCATCTTTTCGGACTTATCTTCAATCCGTATAAAGCTCTATTCAATCTACACACCTTAG